GTTGTCCAGACGTTGTTGGATTTCGGGTTTATATCTCTTTTTATCTATCCAGTATTTACCTCAGCAGATAGTGGCCCAACAAACATACTCAAAACTCATTCATGTCAGGAGACTAGTTCAGCAGGGCAGATCTCTTCATTTCCTTGACCAGTGGGACTTCCCGCCCTGGTTTACCGGTGGCGAGCACGGAGGTGACACTCTCAGCGAACACGCGCTGTCCCCCACGAGGTCTAAGTTCTTCGGCACCGTCGACGTTTTCCCTGTCGAGGCCCTCTTCGGCATTCTCACTCTCGTCTTGTTCCGGGGCGCCGAACACTTCCTCTCTACTTTCAGCGCACATCTTTAGCACTTCCTGCATAGCTTTTTCAATAGCAACGGCGCGCTCGCGCATCCCCCGCCGCAGGAGTGCGTCAACAAGCGTTTCCACCTCCGGAACAGTCGAGTTGACCCGTTCAATGAGTCGACGCACACTGTTGACCAAGTACTCCTCTTCGTAGACCGTCCCCTTCTTACCACGCGCCCGCTTTCGCTCCTCACGCCGCCGGGTCTTGGACGTATGTCGTGAGGATGCCGTCTTGCCTGTGTACCTCGTGAACATGGTGCGACCAGCCAGTGTGGAGGCGTCCGTCGGAGCCAGAGAGACGTTATCTGGAATATCGACTCCGAGGTCACCGGTGGTTGGATCACCACCGAAATAGGCTAGGGGATCGGCAGCACGGCGTTCACGTAGTTCTCGGATACGTGGAACCTGGGCGTTCAACTGTGACCTGAAGTCGGCGAGGAGGTCCGTCGTGGTTCCCATGGCATCTGAGAGCCCTGTGTCTACAATCGACGGGATCAGATCTTTTTTGCCATGGAGCGCGAGGATACGCGTTGCATCCGCGAAGCGAGAGCCGCGGCAGAGCAGACGGGCAGCTGCCGGGATGTCGTGCAGGTGCTCTGCGTGAATTTGAGCTGCAGAGACGTAATCGCGGCTTTCTTCTGTCAATGTAGTCGACAGAGCAAGTGCGTGTGCGGTGAGGTCGGCTTCCGATAGAGGAACCATTAGGGCACAGTATAGAGACTCGCGCCAGAGGTGCGCCAGGTGATAGCACTTGTATGCATCTTCGTAGAGCGAAAGAGACTCGTAAGCTAGAAAGAAGTCAGCATCAGTGTGTTCGCAGGCTGCTTGGCGGGATTATCTAAAAATGGAGAGACGTACCGATTCCTGCTTCTTTGTATTTCGAGTGGTCGTGCAGGAAGTCAGCATAGATATGTGTTATATCACGCAGCTGCTCTGGCTGATATTTGAACAAGTCAATCGCTTCTTTGTACAGCTCATGCTTTATGACATAAGCGCGCATCTCGTCGTAGGCATTGAGAGTATGGAGATGCTTCAGAGCCTTGGCCCAGCGGCCAAGATGGTTGTCTATTTCGAAACGGCGTCGATCGTCGGGAAGCTGCTGAAGTTTCCGCAGGAATGGGAGGTACTCTCGAGGGTCCTGCACGAGATTAGAGACTCGTTCGCCAGCCAGATGGCGCCAGTCTTACCCTTTGAGCTTGTTGAGCAACCAACAAGGTGAGCTCGAGGTCGTAGAGACCCAATGCATGGTCGTATAGACGGTGAGCATCTGTGAGGAAACACATATGCTCAATTGCGTCCTCTGCTTGCTCCGCGCTTTGTTCTGTAGAGCGGTCAGCAACTGGCAAACGAGTACTCATGAGTGTAATCAAACCTCTCAGGCGAGCGACAAGCTGAAGTCCAGCTTCGAGATCCGGTGGCACTTTGCAAACATGTGCAGTGACCACGTTATGCAAGTTGGTGTCTAAGCGTTTCTCAAGGGTGGCCAGAAAAGCATCGCAGATCCGGTTGACCTTGCTGGTCTTAGTTGCCGGCTTGAGAGAGGCCGTACCCTCCGGCTGAACTGTGGTTTGAACCTCCTTGGGCGTCTTCAACGTGTCCTTGTACAAGGTTTGCGAGACGTCGTCCTCACTGAGGGCCGATCAGCAACGCTCTCGAGAGGGAAAGTCAGGCCGTCCACTCACCTCAACCGGGATAGGAATTCATCAATGAAATCGACTTTCTTCAATTGATCCACAAACAGTGCAACGTTTTCCAGGAATTGTTCAGGTGCATAATCATGAAGGATGTTCATGTCTACCATCTGGCTGCGACAGGCAAGGAACGCGGAGCGGTAGTCCTTTCTATCAAGGTAGTTTCTGATGCCGGCCAAGACCAGAGCTCGAGGGTAGATTGTCTCTATGTTGCCCCTGGGCGCCTGTAGGGTGACAGCAAATTTAGAGGGCATAACAGATACCAGTTTGCTTCCACGTTCGATACTTCGGCATCGTTCGTCTGTCTCGGGGGTATCGGCAGGAACTTCCATCTCTGCAAGTTGAAATCAGCCATAGAAATTGGTAATGAGATCGCAATACTCAACAAACCTTCTGCTTTTGTCAAGTGAACAAACTTGAGAAGATGCTGGGAAGTAGTAAACAAGACGTGCGCTTGGGTCACGAGAAAGGACGTGCAATTCTTTGCAAGCATTTGACTATTCGCATAAAGAGCCCCTGTCCTCGACAATGAAATTAAAATGCGCTTTAGAGTTGTCAGCCAGCATTCAGTCGATTGTAGATGAAGAGAACTTATACCTCATCATCTGACAAGTGGACAGCCCGAGCCCAGTGGGTGTCGACAGCAGGGCTCTGGTCCCAGGAATCCACTTCGACGTTTTCTTCGGAGAAGGCTTTCAAGATAGAGTACGCGATTGGACGTCCAGGTTGACGGACATGCGAAAACCACAAAGCTTCAAGTCCAAGGGTTGGGAAAATTGTGAGAATCTGCTCCGACTCTGTTGTTTGATAGACGGTCGTCGTCGATCGAGTCTCGAGCGTTGTCCTTTGAATACAAGCACTGTTCGGTCCACAGTTTCTGAGAATGTAGACTTCATTCTCGTTCAAAAAAGCGATCTGTCGTGGCCGATTGTCTACCGTGTCCGGCAAGGGATGGCTAGACTCGAGTATTGGAGAAGGAACAGGACGAGTCTTCAGTGACCACATGTAGATAGAGAAGCAATCTCTCATGAGGACCGCTATCCGAGTGCCAGACTTGCTGAATGCGACATCGACAACGTTCGAGTCCACTGGCACGTCGCTGTGAGCCATTGGTGGAGGAACTCCCGATACCCTTAGGGGCGTCAACTTCAGGGTTTCTTCTGCGAATTAGCATAAAGCTCTTCTCATCAGATGCAGATACAAACGTACTTCCATCGATCACAGCAACAGCACCGACGTCATAAGGTGAGACGGTCGAACCATGGGAAACGTCGAAGACAAAGTCCAGGTCCAGAATAGACGCTAAGAGACGATCATCAGCACGTATATGGAACAGTCATCGGAGTGCCAAGTACCTGAGCCACAAGCAACAGAGCGTAGAGCTTTCTCTTGATGCCATTTGAAGACAAAAGGATGAGGATAAACCGGGTTGACCAGCACAGGAACCTCTTCCTTGAGATAGTAGTGGTAGTTACCCATGGTCCAGAACTGTATGCGATCTCGGAACAAGACAGCAAGGACTGTTGAGTCAACATTCCAACTGAGATGAATATCCGAGGCCCAGGATGCTCTTTCTTCCTCGGTGAGGCGAAGTGTGAACTCTCCATGGCGCAAGCCGTTTCTCTCGAAAAACACCACATCGACCTTGCCTTCAAGCCTCTGAATTCCCGCAATCAGGTTGCCGTAGGGCCGCCAGCTAAGGGCACCTTCTAGACCGTCAACTGGCTCGCTCACACTGTCCAAAGTGCCTTCTCTAGAGTAGACTCTAATAACGCGACGAACACCCGCTTCGATACTGTTCACGGCAACGTAGGCGCCGTCACCGCGCCAGCTGATAGTAGTTCTGCCGTCATCGTTGCTGCTCAATCGGCCCTCGTCTACCTTTTCAGGTATCGTGGGGTCCCTGAGGGCTTTGGCTCTCTTTCCTTGAAATTGTGTTTCTCGCTTGCCCCAGCCCACGGAGACATGCTGAGATGCATTAAGATCTTCGGGGGTGAAGGTGATTTCAGCAACATTCTCAAACTCTCTAGTCATATAGAGAAATGTATTGGCTCTAGTTGTGAGAGCCAGTAGCTCCTCATCCGGAGACCAAGCGGCTGCTGCAATGCCAACATCGACTGAACCCACGATCTCGATCTTATCTTCGCCCGGAAGGGGGTCCTCACGAACGATGAGGATATCACCTCCCTCCAAGACCAGGCACGCGGTGAGACTATCCGCAAAGTAATGTAGCGAGAGAACCCGATCGCAGGGCAAATCAGGTAGCGGGCAAGGCGCATCCCAGGATGCGATGCAATCAAATACTTCTGCGCCTACAGGGTTCGTAAAGTAGCTGTCTTGGTGTTTCCTCCGAAGCTCAATGATGGGGTTCGCTTCTGTAGGTCCAAAGGTACAAATTACAGCGTCCGAAGCTGTATCCCAAGCGGTAGCCGTGAGAGGAAGCTCATTCTGAAGATGCACCTCGGCGAGGCGCACGTTTTTCAAGTTGCGCATCTTTCAAGATATTGAAGATTTTACCCCGCCATGTATCACCGAGACTTGCACAAGTAAATAGTTGATTTAGTTTAATCAAGTAATCGACTTCATGAAAAGGCCTTTGTGGAATGCTCTGAGAAGGATTAGTGCTTTTCCTGTACAATTAATTGTGTTGTCTGCGGACTGCAAACATAGCTGTGCCGGCCAAAGATTTTTTTAATTTTCGGACGGACAAAAGTGAGCGCTCAACCAATGACTTCATTCATATTCTGACGGGCATCAACCCATCTACCACAATCCACTACAACCAACAACTACGAGGAACGAAAAACAATAGATAAAATAGGCTGCAAAGAAGACCTTCGTCGAAATCCTCTGAATTCTGAACTTTGTACATGATACTGAATGCTTCAAGTATAGGATACATTTCCCGCCATTTCCCAATGCCCAAGGATGCCGAGGCGCGAGAAGTTTCAGCGTAACCGAGCTTCTTAACGGGTCTTGTAGGTTTGCCAAACTGTATAGGAGCACTGTTAGGAAACATATGATCCTGCGTTCGACCACTGAGAACGTACCAGCAATGGCGAAGGGAGCACCGAAACCGGTGACTACAGTCAAAAGTCAGCATGATTCATTGGCTGCATCGCGGACATTCAATCGGAGGTACGTACTCATGAAAGCCCAGTATCTCCAGAAGAAGTACTTGGTCAGAGGGTTGAAGGGAATGTTGGAGCGAGGGCCCTCAGCGTAGTGGTACGGACTGCCGAGCTGGGCCCGGGTGGTGGAAAAGCCACGACGGGCGACGAAGGAAGTGGCCATTCTGGCGCGGAGAGCAGAAGCGGCGTTCATCTTGAAAACACCCGTCAGAGCCAATTGAAAGCATAGGAAGTCAAAAAGCAACAATTACGCACCTTGAGGGAAGCAGGAGACACGATACAGTCGAAGTAGCCCGATAATCGACCATCCGGAAGGGAAGAGAAGGAGTGGAACGATACAGCTTCGGCGGCTCCCCGGGACCGGGAGCACGTGATTTACTGCACCGAAGCAGCAGGTTTTGCCGGCGGTGATAGCAGAGTTCTCGAAAAAACTGTTTCTGCCCAATCACACGCCGCCTTCCTTGGAAGGAACATTGAAATTTCTCGGTCGATCGCAGAGAACAACAGACGTCTCGGCTCAACTTGGCCTTAGCCTCTGCCATCTGCGGCTGATTCTGGAGTTCGTCTCGATCATGGATGAACTCTTTGATGTTTTTGAAGACCAGCCTCAAGCGGCAGCGAAGGTCACCGACGGTGCACCCAAGCGACCCAAGAAAGACAAGAGCAAGAAGCGTCAGGTAAATGGCGATGTGAAGGAAAACGGCGCAGCGACAGAGAGCAGGGAGGATATCGAGATTCCCGATGTACCTGCTGAAGAAGTCGGAGATGGAGAACAGGCTGAAGCGCCTGCGACCGAGAAAAACGAGCAACAACCCGATGCGAAACGTCCGCGACTTGAGAAGGAAGCGCAGCCTGTACTAGCAGACGAATTCGAGACGGCGCAGGAGCGCGAGGTTGCAGCATCTGCAGGTCTACAAACCGCACAGGAAACAACTTCTGTCAAGTTGTCGCACCAGGTTCGGCATCAAGTTGCCATTCCGCCCAACTATCCGTACGTACCTATCTCGCAACACAAACCGCCTGAGAATCCTGCGAGGGTGTGGCCGTTCACCCTCGATCCATTCCAGCAAGTAGCCGTTGCATCCATTCAGAGAGAGGAAAGTGTTCTAGTCTCGGCACATACCAGTGCCGGTAAGACGGTAGTTGCGGAGTACGCCATCGCGCAAAGTTTGAAGAACAACCAAAGAGTCATCTACACAAGTCCTATCAAGGCTTTGAGTAACCAGAAATACCGAGAGTTTGCGGCGGAATTTGGTGATGTTGGTTTAATGACGGGAGATGTCACTATCAACCCAACAGCGACCTGTCTGGTCATGACAACGGAGGTAGGCTTCCATGACACTTCAAGCGCAACCCGGGTGTTTGCTGACGCATGCACCTAGATTCTTCGGTCCATGTTGTATCGCGGCTCGGAAATTATGCGCGAAGTTGCATGGGTCGTTTTTGACGAGATTCATTACATGCGTGATGCCAGTAAGTCATCGGGGTACTGCTGACCTTTAGAAGTTACTGACAGCTATGGCAGTTCGAGGAGTGGTCTGGGAAGAGACCATCATTTTGTTACCGGATAAGGTCAGATATGTGTTCCTGTCAGCGACAATTCCCAATGCTATGCAGTTCGCCGAATGGATCGTCAAGATGCACAACCAACCCTGTCACGTCGTATATACTGATTTCAGACCTACTCCTCTGCAACACTACTTCTTCCCCGCGGGTGGCGAGGGAATCTTTCTCGTCGTCGACGAAAAGGGAGCGTTCCGGGAAGAGAACTTCCAAAAGGCAATGGGCAGCATCGCAGACAAGAAGGGAGATGACCCGTCCGATGCTATGGCCAAGAGGAAGGGAAAGGGTAAAGACAAGAAGTTGAATAAGGGCGGAAATGAAGGCCCGAGCGACATTTACAAGATTGTAAAAATGATCATGCTGAAGAACCTCAACCCCGTCATTGTCTTCAGTTTCAGCAAACGTGAATGCGAGTCGGGCGCTCTCAAGATGAGTACCTTGGCTTTCAATGATGATTCGGAGAAGGAGATGGTATCCAAGGTTTTCAACAGCGCTATCGAGATGCTTTCCGAAGAAGACAGGAACCTGCCTCAAATTCAAAACATTCTACCTCTGCTTCGGAGAGGTATCGGTGTCCATCATTCTGGGCTGCTTCCTATTCTCAAAGAAACAATCGAGATTCTCTTCCAAGAAGGACTTATCAAGGTGCTGTTCGCGACCGAAACATTCTCAATCGGTCTGAACATGCCTGCAAAGACTGTGGTCTTCACGAGCGTCCGGAAATTTGACGGTTTTAGCCAGCGCTGGGTAACGCCATCCGAATTCGTCCAAATGTCTGGCCGAGCTGGTCGAAGAGGTCTTGATGACCGCGGTATCGTGATCATGATGGTTGGTGAAGAGATGGATCCTGCGGTGGCGAAAGAGATTGTGCGCGGAGAGCAGGATAGGCTCAACTCGGCTTTCCATCTGGGATACAATATGATACTGAACCTGATGCGTGTGGAAGGCATCTCGCCCGAGTTCATGCTCGAGAGATGCTTCTACCAGTTCCAAAACACGGCCGGTGTTGCCGAGCTCGAGAAACGTACGCTTAATCACTCGATAACTGGAAGGAGAATATTTGTGCTGACCCCGTTGCAGAACTCCAGGAATTCGAAGAGAAGAGGGCCAACATGACCATTTCTGACGAAGGCACCATTCGCGAATACTATGAACTAAGGACACAGCTCGACAAGTTTGCAGATGACATACAAGCAGTCATCAGTCACCCAGATTATTCTTTGGCCTTTATGTCTCCGGGTCGTTTGGTGCACATCAAGCACAAAGACAAAGACTTCGGATGGGGCGTGGTTGTCAATTACAAACAACGGAAGCCACAAAAGAATTCAACTGAGGAGATTCCTCGTGACAAGAGATATGTCGTTGATGTTTTGCTCAATATTGCCGAAGGGCCGTCTGTGGCCACAAAGACATTTGAGGAGTTGCCGTCTGGAGTCAGACCAGTGAAAGAAGGGGACAACTCTCGGATGGAGGTCGTTCCAGTCCTTACCGACTGCATCCGTGCCATCTCCCATGTACGCATGAAGCTTCCCAAGGACCTGAATCCAAAAGATGCGAGAAATGGGGTCAAGAAATCTCTTACTGAGATCCAAAAGCGCTTCCCTGATGGCATTGCTACACTTGATCCGATTGAAGATATGAATATCAAGGACGAAAGTTTCAAGAAACTACTCAGAGTAAGACATATATTCTCTTCTGCATTTAGTTTGTACTGTGTGCATTGCTGACTATCATCACAGAAAGTGGAGGTTCTCGAGTCTCGTTTGCTTTCCAACCCACTGCACAACTCACCCCGGCTACCAGAACTTTACGAGCAATATTCTGAGAAGGTGGAGTTGGGAACGAAGATTAAGGAGACGAAGAAGAAGATTACCGAGGCCATGTCTATCATGCAGCTTGATGAGCTCAAGTGCCGTAAGCGTGTACTTCGTCGGTTCGGTTTCATCAATGAGGCCGAAGTCGTGCAGTTGAAGGCACGAGTCGCCTGCGAGATCAGCACAGGAGACGAGCTCATGCTCAGCGAGCTTCTTTTCAATGGTTTCTTCAACAAACTTTCTCCGGAACAAATCGCTGCTGTATTGAGTGTATTCGTTTTTGAGGAGAAGTCCAAGGAGACTCCTGCTCTGACGCGGGACGACCTGGCGAAGCCCCTAAAGGAAATCCAAGCGCAGGCCCGGATCGTTGCCAAGGTCTCTCAAGAATCCAAGCTGGCTGTCAACGAGGAGGAATATGTAAACAGTTTCCACTGGGAGCTTATGGAGGTCATCTACGAATGGGCGAACGGCAAATCCTTTGCTGATATTTGGTAAGTTGTCCATCTGTCGGCACTCCGAGTCAAAGTCTACTTCGAAAACTAACTCGCCTGTCTCTTTAGTGGAATGACCGATGTTTATGAAGGATCGTTGATTCGGGTCTTCCGTCGATTGGAGGAGTGTCTGCGTCAGATGGCGCAAGCCTCCAAGGTTATGGGCAACGAGGAACTCGAGAGCAAATTCGAGGAAGCTCTGACTAAAGTGCGCAGGGACATTGTGGCCGCACAGTCCCTGTACCTGTAAATATCATTTTCTTTTCTTTTTATACCTCCTATGACCTATGCTGGTAGGGAGCATGTATGTGTCGTACGGTCACAATCATTTTGAAGGTCTCGCATTTCCCTGGCGTCGGAAATGGGAAAAAGGATTTCATTGTTTGGTTCCTGTCTACTCAAATGGACGACATACGTTTCTATGATTTTAAAAACTTGTTCTCAGGCTTCTATCAATCACATACAATTGTAGAAATGAAACGTCTTCCCCTGAAACTTCACTTGTAGTGATCATGGATGGTGTCATGGACCAAAACCTGCGCAGTCGGCCTGCGTTGCCTCCCGCAACCGCCTGCAAGTCCACCGCTTTTCTTTCTTTCGCCCTTCCCCACCACTCACCTCACCTCACCTCGACTCAACCCGTCCTTACATCCTCTCTCTCTCGCTCTCTTTCTTTTCTCTAATTCTCCATCTTCTTCTTTTATTTGGAATCTTGTCTTTCCCTTGATTTATCCCTCCTTCCCGCCCTCCTACTTTCCTGTATTCGAAATCCTCGTTTCCCTCTGCCACAGAGAGATATCGGCACTTATTTGCCATCAACTGTTTGTGACCCATCATGAACAGCTTGGTGGCTACACCACCTGTGCCTCCACACTTCTACGAGTATTCTCGTCTCTCCTCACCACATCCAAGTAAGTGACTTTTGGGGTTTACAGGATTGAGATTTGAAGCTCACGACTATTCCAGTGTCTACCCCTACTCATACAACCAGCAACCGTAAACGGAAAGCCGATGATGATGGCAATGATCACGATGGACGGATGTCAGCCTCTCCCACCAACTCCCCCGCCTTCACTCCTCGATCTCTTCCGGCTCCTCGCTCGTTCAAACGATCCCGCCCCAACGTCTCTGGCAGACCACTCTCCCTGCCTCGACTGCTGGAAACCCTCGACACAGATGCCTTGAGGGGGATACTACGGTCAATGTGCGAGCGTCACCCGGCTTTGGCTGACGAAGTGATTCACACGTCTCCACGGCCGAGTGTTTCCTCTGCTCTCCAGGTTCTCCGCAATTACCAATCGACTTTACAAAACTCATTCCCATTA